TTAATATTATTGAACACAAACCTCGTCCTGTTGAATCAGTATCAACAAAGCCCAAAAAAAATCCCCCTTTTGTAAAACTTGATTCTCAGAAGAAACAAATCGAACCAGAATTGTCATCCGTTCTCTTTCACTTGCATCAGGTGTACAATCTAATATTATTGAATAATATTTAGATTTATGTAGCAAAAGTAAAATTTTCCGTAGTCGTATTAATTAAAATTTCCAACAATTCATTTTATCTTTCCTTAGCCCTATGAACATGATTTACCATAACTGGATCTTGCAAAAAGCTCAACTGATTTTATGAAATTGCCGTTGTTGCTTTCTATAATCTATCAGATAATCCCCAAAAAATAATATTTTGGTTAGTGAGAAATGTTATAATTTCCCAGACTGGAACACACATCTGGACCGTCGCCTGAAGAACTGTGCAGTTTTCTGAAGCAACTATTTTCTAAACAACTTGTATAGATTAAATATAAGTTTTAATATAATTTAATACAAATAGCAGAGAATAAATTCATATCACAAAAATAATATCTGAATTGCACACATAGTTCCTAAAGAGCCGTAAAGTTTGTCAATTCTCATTTTCTATCTGAAATATTCAATCAACTATTAAAAATTGGCTTAAGTAAATTGTACTTAAGTAATTAAATTTATCTACTGATATTATCTTACAAACAAAATATGTATTTTGTCTTCGTATTCATCGTTAAGTTAGATTTTTTCATATAATTTATTAAGTTTTCTATAGATCCTATATTTTAATAAAAATAAAGTATATATTCAAGTATATAGCCAATAAGTAAATATATTCGTGATGGAGCCCTTTGACCAGGTGCCCGCATTTTTCATATATATATATATATATATATATATATATATATATATATATATATATATATATATTAGGGTGGTCCTTAAAATGGTCATTTTCGAATTTCCTTGCTCCCAGGGGCTCAAATGGTTCCAAATTGATAAAAAACAATTCTTTGAAAGTTTTAGCTCTTAATATTAACTTTTAAACAGTGCGCAATTCAATCAAACTTCGTATGGAAAGAGCATGGAAAAAATTTTGAAAATTAAAAAAAAATGTTTTAGGTATAACTTAGCGACAAATGAATGAGTTTTATTCATTCATTTGTTCGCTAAATTACATCTAAAAAATATTTTTAAAATTTTTGAAAATAATTCCATGCTATTTCCATACAAAACTTTGATTGAATTGCGCTCTATCTAAATGTTAATATTAAGAGCTAAAACTTTCAGAGAATTGTTTTTTATCTATTTGGAACCATTTGAGCCCCTGGGAGCAAGGAAATTCGAAAATGATCATTTTAAGGACCACCCTAATAATATATATATATATATATATATATATATATATATATACATACCTATATATTCTTGAGTGTTGCAGGCAATCATTGAAATATTAAATATTATTTTGACGATTGGCTGCAAATTAACACTCAAGAATATGTCTGAACGTCGAACAAAAAAATCTAAAAATTATACCTATATATACACTTATAAATAACGAAACAAATCACTATAAAAAATTCAGTTTATGCGTATAAGTAATAATAAGTAATTGACAATATATAAATAAATAAAATTAGAAATGCGATTTACTAAGGAAATCATAGGACATTTGGGATTTACTTACTTTACACCGCATAAGGATCGTATGAAAGGATAAGGATGGAATCCGAAGAACGCATGATACGACAGGAATTGGAGCAGGCTTGACATTTGTAACCTAAAACATAAAACCTTTTGAATACACTGATTCTGGTGAACATGTTAAATAAGATACGACAATGTTGGACATGTAAAATGACATGGACCATGAACATGGGTACAGTTTTATTTGTGATATTTGTATATCATATTTATTCATACCCAATAGAGTTGTGGTTGGCGCTCGACTGCCACGCGGAGGCTCCGGGTTCAATCCCCGGTATAGGAAATAGATAAGTAGAGACAATAGATAATAGAGTATAGGGCTTAAGATAAAATTATAGCGTATAAATAGTAGAAAGTAAGGTTTATAACAAGTAAAAGATATGTAGGATGTGTGTTATGCATGTATATTTAGTTAATAAACAGATAATAATCTAGAGGTAATAGATTATTTGTAAGGATAGGAATTGATGGTATAGATATCTCATGATATGATAGATAACAGTTAGATTATTTATGATATATAATACTATAGTATAATATGGTAGATAATAGTTAGATTATCTATCATATCATAAGATTAGGTCTTATGACGTATTGTAATAAATATTGAGTACTTTTATATCATTATAAATACTTGTAGATGTTAATAAATATAATTAATATCAAAATAAATATAATTAATGTTATTAAAGGATATAAATTATGTACTCAATGACTCCTTTACACTTGTACAATTTTATGTGTAGACTAGCTGTATATAATAGAATTAATCAATAAGAAATCAATATATTATTTTACGTGTAACCAACACGAGTTCTTATAGAAATATATCGAATGCCTTTTAAACTCCTGAATTCGTGAGAAAACGTCTAGAAAATGACAACAAACGCACTGAAATCATGAAATTAGCAGATCAAATTTTCTGGCGAAAATAAAGTTCTTCTTCGAAAAGTTAAAAAAAGAAAAGGACTTGATTGAGTGTAGAAAAATCAGTAATGAAATTAATTTGAATTTCAATTCTTATAACATGTTTCACATTTATAAGAAGTTTTGATCACAATTCAAAGGCTTAACTTTTATATTTATTAAGAAACAAAATCATTTATAAAGTAAAGATCAAAAATTTTATATGAGGGCCACAACGTTTTTAGAAACGTTAAGGTGAAATTTGATCCATAAAAGGCTGCGAAACACTGTTCTAGACGAATAGATAAAACGATAAAAAGATAAAACGATAATAAACTAACATAAGAGACTACATCAAAGATTCTATTAAGTAATATCAAACAGGGACGATGTTTATGAGATCTTATGAGACATTTATTGTCATGGTTTAGTTTAAAAAGTTTGAACTTTGTAGTAAAACATCTAAAATATCAGAATGAAAAAAACTCGTACCATAATTATTCTTTTGTTTGTTTATCTTATCTATAAAAATAATTTAATTAATTTTATTCATCATGGAATTTCCGATAAAAGTACATCAGTGATATTCTTAATCTCCATAAATATAAATAATTTCTTCACCTGAAATTTCTCTAAATAATTGTAAGGATTGAACTACGTCACATTTCACTTATTTTTTATAATGCAAAAATTTACACTATTTATAGAACTGCGTCATACATATCGTGTAAATATTTTTATTTTCCATATATTGCACTAAAAACTTCACTAATGTTACTCTTATCTGACGCTTTAGATAAAAGTCGATTGTATGGTCAGCGATTTGAGTTGGCCTTATCGAAATCAGTGATAACACTTTTATTATGTTACAGAAATAAATGATAAAAGAAGATATTTCAATGATACGATTTTAACTATGAATAACTCTTTCGTAACATATCAACAGCTACTTTCCACGAATTTGTTTTTCAAATATAGATAAATTACAAACAGAGAATTTAACAAAAATATACTATCATGACTCCATTTTATTTAAAATTTTATGATGTTTCCCAATCAGCGATAATAAACACGAAAGGCCAGTACTCGGAAAATAAGACTTGTAAAAAATTCTCACACTATGAGCATTGATAATAATTGTTAATAAGGATGAATTTCCATTATTATTGTAATGCAAAAATTAGAAAATACCAATAAATTTTAGTTAAATTAGAATTTTATAGACAATAACTTTTTACCTATAAACTTTTAATTTTAGGGGTATATTATAATAATGCAACATCTTTGTACTAAAAATAGGATAATTTATTACAAAGATTTATGCTGTAATAGTTCTTTCCTACACTATACCATTATACTTGTTACTATAGTTACAATAAATTTTGGAAATAGTGGGATTGGAGAAAAATAACAAATAGATTTTATATGCAAGTTGCCCAACTATGTATGTTACTAATGAAATTTTTATAAGAAATTTTGTAATGTTTGCATTTTTAATTTGTAAGTGTCATGATAGTATGAGCCTAAAATTGAAATCGAATATTAAACATCATATATATTAGGTATCCCAGAACTCAACGTTAAGACGAGACGGAGTAATAATAGTATTGACCGTAACTGTACTGCAATAATTTTAAAACAAAATTTCACGTTGTTTGCAAATTATGAGCTTTCGAGTGCGACCTAGAGCTTTAGTCAAATTGTGACGATTTAGTCAATTTGTGAATTTTTCGGTTATTATGGTCAATTTCTATTACATTTATTCTGTCATTTTAACTTTGGAACCGTAAACAATGAATAGCATTTCTAGGACCACAGTCAAAAATAATGGCGCAATTGCCCCAGGTTTTCAAGAATTAAGACTTTTCGTGAACTACGAATTTAAAATTTTTTTAAATCGATCGATTTAGAGAGGATCTCCTAAAATGTACTGAAGTGTGTTTGGCAAGTTCCATCTAGTTGTAAGTAAAGCGCGAAAAAGGAGAAGTTGTAGAACAGCTCATAGAATAGAAATTCTGATCTCATTGTCAGTTAAAAATTATATTAGTATATATAAAAAACAATACTTCACATTGCACTAAAATTATTTGTGTATTTATAGAGATTTTTGAAAATCTTTCATTGTTTTATATAATTTACAATTTTAATTATATTTTTAAAAAATATTCTGCCTTATTATTGCCATTTTTATGATTTTTTGAAAAAATCAAAATGTTAAACAATTTTTAATAACATGGATTTTTTTAACTTTCATAAAAATTCAAAATACTCGAAAAAAAAGTGTCAAAAAAGTCAAATTTTTCGAAGAGAGTTCTTAATTTTTTTCTAACACCAATCAAATTATAACATTATTAAAAGTACATGTGTTCAATGTGTGTATACTAACTTAAAATATATCTTACTTGGAATTTAGTACATCAATTATTCAAGCAAAGCAAATTTTCTTTCTATAACTCCCAGGTCTTCGTTCAAGCTGTCATTCTATTAAGCTCCAATGTTTTCTCTCTTTTGTGAAGTACCTGTGACATAATAGAAAATATTAATTGAAATTGAAAATTTTATAAAACTTATAGTATGATAAATAAATAAATATGATAAAAATATTTATGGTTAGCAGTTCGATAATAAGATAAAAATTTCTGATGGCAGAAAATACTCAATGAGGTTCAATCTCTTCAACGTAATTACCAAGAGTTATAGATGAAAGTTCATACTTAAACTGACTGAGAATAAACAAAGCACTCATTGTAAGGAATAGTTGCAATTTCCAAACGATGCATGGCCTTAAAGCAAATTGATGAAACTTCTCGTACCGTTATTCAAATTTTTAGAAACTTTAAAATTTTTTGAAAGCTTCGAAAAAAATAGATTTTTGAGTATTTTGAAATTTCTGAAAATCAATAGCAATCGAATGTTTTTTTAATCGGATGATACATCTTCTCGAAATCGTCGACACACACACAAACATTCATTTTTTTTTAATATGTGCCAAAATATAGTTTTTAAACGTAAAGATATATAAAAATTTTCATTTTCGATTTTTTGCGATGACTAATTTCCGGAAAGTTAATAAATAATGGTCATAACGCTTATAATGCCCTTATACTTTATAGAAAAATGTCAACAAATAATATAAGTAAAAAATATGAGCAAAAAACATAATAGCTAAAATAAACGTAAACGTAATAACGCATAGAAATATTTCAACTTTTTGAAATATAATACAAGTATTATAGTGACTGTTATCATTACATGCAGTTCTAAAATTGTAATTTCGCATTATATTCCTATCACATTTTTTTTACTACACTAAAATCTAGATTTTTGAAGTATAAGTCGTTGGCTCTAAAACCATGCCAGAAATATAAATTTTGAAAGGCAAGAGCAAACGATTCTTTTGCTAAAAGATATTCTCAAATAAAAATTAAATGTTTTATAGGTATTAAAACTAACAATTCTTTAAGTAAGATATGGAAAAATGTATGCAAAAGTCATCAGACAACGCCGCCGTATTACAATGCTCTAATTGAGTACGTAAACAAAGATCTTCAATGAACCTGCCATTAGAACAAAATTTCATTGAACCTTGACTTTTTGAGAAATATACGATATGTGCTTCTGAAACAAATGTGTAAGTTCTTTTATGCGCCTTTATATAAGCAGAAATAGTGACACCTGGGAAAAGAAAAATCAGTAAGTCGAAATAATTAAATTATTAGAATAGGCGCTCAAAATAACATGAAGTATGGTTTAAATTTATACATTTAGCTATATAAATAACATCGTGCTAATGAACCTATTTTAATAAAAAAAATTAGGTTGTGAGCATCAGATTCAAATTAACTTGAAGATTAATGAATGAATGATTATATATTCATTCGAAAAAATTATCCAGCTTAACACAAAACCTACCAAGGCCGGTCAAAATGACCGTTTCGAACTTTGTGTTTAACTTTGACATTTTTAAACGTTAATATACCAATATCAAACTATATGACAATTTATAGAACATACTAATGATATTTTTACCACTCTTTAATTTTAATTATTTTTTCTATTTTCCGAAAAAAATTTGTTTTGTGGGCTAACTACCGCGGTCGGTCAATTTGACCGCTGGAAAATAATGTTATTTAGGGAGTTGTTTCCGTCAAAATATAGGTGCAAAATTATTAGAAATTGTATTAGTATATTGTTTGGTAAAAATGTGGTAAACTAGATGGCTATGAAATGTAAAATAAAGTCAAAAACTTGTAGTGGCAACTTTAGGTATATTTCAACATTTTGATCATAGTTGGAAAAATGCGTAAATAGTGTAATGAGAGTTGACGAGTTTAAGCATTTTTAAGCACGAATTTTTGTTTTAGTTATTATATATAATTTATTTAACTCAAGATGCATATTCAAAATCTCAAGAAATTCAAGTTTTTATCAACACTGTCCATAAATTCAGAGTTGCGTGGACGAAAAACTTGACAAAAAATGTTTGTGAAAATTACGAATCAACAAATATATTTGCTCCAAATGTATATTTTTGAATAAAATAATTAGATTAGATTTTATTCGTATTTTTCTTATAATTTCTTTTAGAAATTATATAAAAGTAAATTTAGATGAAAGTTCATGAAAATTTCTTCATTTTATATACAGTAAACATAAAATAAATTATTATCTGAAATAGATAACTTTTTAATTGTAGGTCAATTGGACCGCGCGCGGTGGGTATAAGTATACACGAATAGGTAGGTTTAGTAGTTAAATCAAAGAGAATTTTTAATTATCTGCAGATGTGCAAAATATTTGAAAAAAAAGGCGTATTAAATTATAAAAAATTTTATTTTCAAATATTAGTCATGTGTATTTATTATGCATACCAAATACGGTGTTTAGTATGTTACAGCCATGTTACAGCATAATTAGTACACGTGCAATTCTGTTCGAGAGCTGATTACGTACAAAGATCGACTGCCTTGTTCGAGATCACGGACAGGGCCAACAACTAGCCACACAGTTCATAAATTAAGTAAGAACATAATTATTCACAGATGTCTTGTATGATTTTGTAATAAAACTAGCTGTAAGTGGAATTCTGTCTTAAGGCAATTAGGGCATCGTGCCTTAAGGCAAATTGCTGGAACTTCCCGTACCAAAAATTATTATTTTTTCAAAAACGAATAACATTTTTGAAAAAAATTTACTTCGAAAAAAATAGATTTTTGAGAAACTATAAATTTGATAAAAAATTACTTTTTTTTAAAAAAAAAATTTTTATTTGAAAAAAAAAATTTTTTTTTGAGAAAAAAATTTTTTTTTTTAAAACAATAAAATTTTTTGAAAAAAAATGTTTTCTTCATTTTGACATATTTTGGAAATTCTGAACTTTTTTTCAAAGCAATCGCACTGCTTGAACTGCATAGAGACGAAATGTCAAAGCTCGCAAGTGCCGCGCCGCCGTCTAACGCATAAGCATTGGTACGGAACCCATAGAAATGTAAAAAAAATTTATACTTATTGTTAAAATCTCTATAAAATATCTGATAATTTGATGTGCATATGTCTAATGATCATTTTTAACCGCCGAATGGCATTTTTTTTTACTTTTTTTTATTAGATCTCCGAAACCGCTAGACCTGCCTTCATGAAAATTTGATCAAATCTACATCTTGTCAATACAAGTAAAATATTTTTTGAATTTTTCAAATCGGACGGTCCGTTCTCTTAAAAACTGAGTTACCGTTTTTGGCACTTTTTGCCCCGTATCTTCGGAACGGCTAGACCTGGCTTCGCCAAAAACTAATCAGCACGTCTCCTTATCAATACGAATCGAATGTTTTTTGAATTATTCAGATCGGTTGATCGGTGTTCCCGAAATCGTCGACGAAAATTTGTATCCGCACATACATACACACACGTACATACATACACACACATACACACACACACACACACACACACACACACACACACACACATACATCCATTTTTTCTAAGGTATGCCAAAATGTTCAGAAACCTCTGAAACGTAAAGATATATAAAAATTTTCATTTTCGATTTTTTTGCGATTACTATAACTTGCCCTACGGGAAGTTAACTAGTGGGGCATGGCATCGTGCCTTAAGGAAAATTGCTAGAGTTTCCTCTACCAAACCTTAATTTTTTTTAATAAAAATTTAAATTTTTTTGGAAACTGAAAAAATTAGATTTTTGAGAATTTTGAAATTTTTCAAATTTGAAATTGTTTAAAATTTCTGAAAATTTGAACTTTTTTTTAAAGAAATTCCGCTGGTTTAGATGTGCAGAGATGAAATATTGAAGCGCGTTAGCGCCGCGTCGCAGATAAACGGATGAACATCGGTACGGAACCCATACAAATGTAAACAAAATTCATATTGATTATTAAAATTTCTATAAAATATCTGATAATTTGATGTGCATTTGTCTAATGATCATTTTACTTTTTTCATAGGATCTCCGAAACGGATAACCCGCCTTTGCAAAAAAATTGATCATCACGTCTCTTTATCAATAGTAATCGAATGTATTATATAATATAATATATATAATAGTAATCATTCAAATTGGTTAATCCATGTTTTCGAAATCGTCGACGAAAAATTGTATTCGCACACGCACACACACATACATCCATTTTCTAATTATAAGGTATGCTAAAATGTTCAGAAATCTTTCAAACGTAAAGATATATAAAAATTTCATTTTCGATTTTTTGCGATTAATATGACTTACCCTACAAAGTAGTTGAAAAAATAATTACAAATTTATAATTGTTTAAAAATTAGGAATTTGTTGAAACAGTTTTTTTTTCATATTTAGAAAAAAAAATCGAGAATATGTTCATTGTTGGCAAATTTGATCTGAGTAATAGATTAAAGTTTATATTTTCACGCCAATAAAATAACACATTTTTGCAAACATTATATATCAATGTAAAAACCTGAGTTGTGCAAAAAACTGTTTTTTGAAGCAATAAAAAACATTAAACATTTTAGTACGCTAGTGAAAATCTTTTATGTATTTCAACGTGATATGTAAGTTATAAAAATTTTTGGACTCAAAAGTCTAGTTAGATAAAAGGCAGACGCTTCAAGTTTTAAAACAGAAAACGAAATTTTCACTTGAAGATAAAGCCTTTTCTAAGGGCACGTATGAGTTTTGAATAACATAATATTGTTACATATTTTACCACCTATATTTCCGATTAGGATCTCTATAAAGATCCTATAATTTGATGTGCCTACGTCAAATGTCATTTTTGACTACCACATGGGTTTTTCCATTTTTGCCTCTGTATCTCCAAAATCACGCTACCTAATCAACTATTCACACTACAAATAAGAATCCAATATTTTTTTAATAATACAAATCGGTATAGCAATTTTCTCAAACAAGTAGCACAAAAGTTGTATCCAAACATACATACATAATACAAATCAGATTAACTATATAATTTGCATTATTGCTTATATATATACATATATATATATATATATATATATATAA